GCTGCCCCCTCCCCGGGGCTCCCCCCGGCTGGGTGCCCCGGTCTGGGACAGCCCGGGTCTCAACCCCTTCAGTGGCAGCTCGGCGCTGCAGAACTCGCCAGCTCTCCCCAAGGGCTCTTACCAGTTTGACCCCAATAACTTTGAGTCCGTGGATCCGTTTAAGCCCACCAAGACCCTCACCAGCTCTGCCACCGACTCCTGCCCCACTGCCGATAACAGCCTCAACGAAATCCTGGAGTCTCAGACGCTGGAGGTGCAGGATGGTCTCCTCGAAGGCAGAGACTCCCCGAAGAAGCTCAAGTCGCGCCTGATAACGTGAGTGACGGTGCATGCGGAGCGGGCCTTCTGAGCGAGCCCAAAACACCAGTGTGTGCTCTGGGTTCTGCTGCTGCCCCAGTTTTATCCGCCCCGTGTCCCGGCGGAGGAGCAGCTCCCCGCTCCCTGCTGGTGTTTCGGAGGAGAGGGACGGGTGTCCCAGCACGGTGCCGGTGCCCGGGTCCCAGGCGGAGCAGGGAGGGCTGGATCGGGCCCTGCGTCGCAGGGTCACCCCTTGGAAATCCCCTCGGGGCCCCAGCCCGTGGGGTGGGGGTGCAGGCGCTCAGGCTCGTGGCGTCAGAGCAAAGCTGTGCCGGAGGCGTGAGCCCCCCGGGCTTGCCAAGCGCTCCGGTGGGTCCGTGGGTCTCCTGGAGCGTGCGGACACGGGGCTGGTTGGTCGGGTGCTGCTGGGACGTCTTGTGAGCTGCCACCGAATTGTGTTTTTTATAACAGGGCAAGAGAATAGAGGTCAAACAGGTGGATTGTTTGTTGCTTTTACCACATCTGTGCAGCGGTAGGCAGCTGCTTGGCCCTTGCTGAACTATTTAAATGCATATTTAGGTCCTGAACCGTGCTATGTAAAACCCCCTGTAAATTTCGTAGTGCGTCCTGGGAATGCAGGCAGGTTACCTCCTCCTCTGGGACAGGCTGAGTGGCTAAACCTTGCTGCTTTCTTGGTATTTCACCTGCTGTATCGCAGACGTCTCCCGCCCGTGCCTCGGCAGGGCTGAGGTAAAGGAGCCTGGGCTGCTCCGGGCATTCGCCTCCCTGGCAGCGGGATTTGTGCTTGAATCTCATCCTGCCACCAGGAATAGCAAGTGCAGAACCAGAGCATCTTTTATCTTCCGAAAAGACAGAGCGGGGCAACTCGCTGCGCTTCTCCAGAGGAGAGTTAATATCGGGGTCTTTTCACACGCTCTTCTTCTCTCCATCTGTCTGTCTCTCTCCCTGTCCGTGCTTTGGTGCATCAGGACTACTGAACAAGTGAAATTTCTCTGTTTTCTGTTGTAAGTACTCGCTTCTGTATTTCTTTCTCCTTTTCCTTTGCTGGTTTTTGTCCTCTCTCTCTGGGTGTGTGCCCTCCCCACTCCTCTCCATGGCATGCAGGCTCCTTCCTGCCCTTCAACTCGTGCTCCCCGCTCTCTGGTCTGTGTCCCGCACCTCTCAGCCGCTCCCGGGGCCGGGGGGAGCGGGAGCTGCGCCGGAGACGTGCGCCTGTGCTTGCTCTCGCAGCATGGCGACTCGCAACCCCCTTTAATGATGTGCTGGTCCTTGGAACCAGTGCATCGGCTAACGAGCAGGAGCAGGTTTCTGTGCAGTCCTGGTCCCTGCAAAGATGGGTGGATTTCAGCCATGAAGACGGGGGTGTCTTTTACCCCCTCCCATGCAAAGGCAGCTGCTGCAGAGGGGCAGGGTGGAAGGCGTCAGCTGGGAGGCGAGGGAGTCAGGGGCTACCTCCTCGGGCCCGGGGCTGCGTCAGTCCCGGGGGAGCTTTGCCATCGCAGCCGGCTCCAAACAGGGCTCTCTTCAGAGCTTTGGTGTTTTTGACTTGCTTGTGGCTCTGCCCTGAAGCGTCCCTCCTGTGCCCAGACCTGGGGCGATGGAGCTGGCCTGCGAGACCCTGCACGGGTTAGAAAGCGCGGCTCGAATAAAGCAGCCTGCGTTCGCTGCCCTGCGACCTGCGCTGCTGCAGCGGGGCCGTGCTGTGCCCCTGGCGCGGGACACCAGTGAGAACTGAAACGGGCAGATGAGGCTGGCGCTTCCATCCCATGGGGGGGCATGCAGGAGGGACCGGGGTGACCCCCCGTTAGTCTCCCAGCGGTGCTCGGTGTCTCTTGGCAGCTTGTCAGCCCCCTGGGACCCTCTGTGCTCCTCTGGGCTCTGCTCTCGTGTGAGGGGAGTGGGAGGAAGGAGCGTGCGGGGCTTAGTTCGCGATCTTGTGTCATCTGTCCCAAAGCCCTTCGTGTCCGCTCCGTGCCGCCTGCCATGCACAGACAGAATCAGCGCTGGGCTCAAGCGCTGGCATCGGTGTCTCGGCCGAGGACTGATCGCCTTCTCACGGCGCGGTGGTGGGCAGTGCCTGCCTGTCTGCCCAGGCAGGACCCGCAGCGGG